GGAAGGAATTCCTAAGAACAAGGTCACGTGCTAGGGTTACGTATCGTGATTAGTTAAGGGAGTGGCCGTAGCGCACTTATTAGACTTCATCGGCGTTTCATTTCGCAGCTCGACCAGCTCTGAGATGCTGGCGTGTGGCTCAGGTAACTCTAGTTGCTTAGAGCTAGCTCCGAGCCGTCAGATTTCACCGATAGATCTTTAGAGCCACCTCTAAGCTACACGTTTGGCGGCTGAGCGATATGCGGTTGTCGATTCTCTCATTGTCTCGTCGTTGTAGCATCGCTTAACGAAAGCCCACTGATGTAGATGTACGGATCACAGAGAGAAGGTGGACCCCGCGTTCATGTAGGTCGTGTCTTTCTGTTGTCATCGCGTAGAGCTTCTCGAACGTCCAACCGTCTGGGCCCCCCAGTGAAGTCAATCGCGGCTGCTGTTAACGACTTCATGGTGAGGCTGGTAAGTGATTCTGCGACATGACTGTGTAAATAAGCTCTGTAATCCAGTCCCATGCGCGTTGGGTCTTGCCTTGCCATCGACAAATACCGTTCCCAAGCATATCTGATTATCTCAGTGCATCGCTCTGCTTTGGTGGCATCACTGCTCAGCTGCTCCGAGGTAAGTATACCAAAACATGGGAGGATGATATTAAGGACACCTACTCTAGCCCCGGTGATCTTTGGCTAGCTTCCCAAGGGCGACACTTGTAATGTTTCTGCAGACTGAAGTGTGTAAGCGCATTTTGAACGGAATTCGCTATGCAAGTCTGTCTCGGGACTTTTGTACAGCATGCCGCCTTGTAATATGCCCTTCACCATAATCTGATTGTCAAAGTCTCTCAAGCCGGTAACGGGCGGTGTTGATAAGATTATCCATCCGTTACCGGGAGAAAATGTCACACCGTAGACCAGATACCCGGCTGGCACACGCGTCTACTGCCTTATCCTCATGTTGTAGCTCTTTTGTGAGTCGGGTTGAGCTGAGACTAACCGTTGGCCTTGGCCGACGATTTGCAATGGCCCTGAGAAACGCTGCTCGGGACTAAATCGTTCTTTCTTGCTTGTCGCTCCAGAAGGGATTTTCTTGTGCCAACGGTCCGAAAGACTCGACAGAAGTGAAGTCATAGGGCCCATCTGAGGACTTTGACAATCCGAAGAAGCTCTTTCTATTGTAGCACTCTTAGGCATATAGGGTGTAGTAGATTGTCGCTAAGGCCTCAACGTGATCGCGTTTCGCATGTCGTAGTTGAAGATGTTGTCCTTAAACCGGCGGAGCAGTCTGCTCGCCTCGATCAATCTGGGAACAACTGTGGTAGGCCTGGCGTAGTTGCCACGTCCGATCGTAGCCATAGCGGCTGTAATAATGTTCCGGATCGCTGACACTGTTGCAAAGCTGACAGGTATCGTGCTCCGAACGTACTTGTTCCCGTAAAGGCAGTCAGCTATTTCCGCGGCTTGTGCATCTAGATACAATTCTCTGTTATGTTGTGACGGCAATATCGTATTAATTACAGTTCTGTGCATGATCCTTTTAAAGAGCTCGATTGTTGCAGTATTGAAGTACTCGGGATCTTCACGGCTGTGAAGAAGCAGGCGACGAAATTGCAGGTTCCCGGCGGCGCACAATGTACATAACGTTCTTCACGCGTACCTGTCAAGGCGCTTGTGAAGGTCCCGAAGGTGGCGACTGCAACGTAGAGTTTTCTCTGTGACCCTCTGAGCAAGGTGAATGAGTATGTGCGACGAGAATTCGGTTATGCTTGGCGAAATTTTGTGTATTTATCGCGCGAGTTCAATTGTAACGTTCCCAATAAATAGCTCCATATCCTTCTCGCGCCTCTGGCGTAGTTCGTCGCGGTCTGGTCGCCACCTTTCTACTTCTTCGCCTCAAGCTACAGTATCTATCGCTAAAGCTCGCCCACGCCGGCGGCTTTGCGTTCGAGTTCATCAATCTTACCCAGTATCTGCTGCATTCGCGAGCTGCCGTCCTACTGCCATGGCGCGGTGGTAGTGGCACCGAGAGGTGGTCTCTGTGACCCGCTCGTCGAGCGTCAAGTTGGTCCAGCGGCTGAGGAAGGTCCCGACGGTGGCCGCGCCGACAACGGCCAAGATGGCCACGAGAAGCGAGACCCCAAACCCATCCCATGGAGATATCGGGGGGGCCAAAGGGTAGGAACAGACCGCCCTGACATCGTCTGCGAACTATCCTAGTATCAAGATATGCTGCTGCGTAGTCAAATCTCACTAATCCCTCTAGTTTAGCGTTTTTCTGATCCAGAAAATACCCCGGCCACCGGTGAAGCTCGTCTCTCTTTGTTATTCCCATACTAGAAGAACGGCTCCAAGGGGCTGCCGCGATTGGATGACGTGGCCAAACTCTCGGCTCACCACGTAGGTCCAGCGCATCTCGTGCCACAGTCAGGCACGCCATCCACATCGAATTGGTGCCCTTATGGTGACGGTCCTCATAATCTCCCTTGCGCTATCGCAGAAGGTTGCTAGCCACGACGCAAAGATCTGCTCAGCGAGTACAATGGTGACTCGCCACAGGAATGCTGCATCCGGGGTTGCGTCGTCAGCTGTAGCTGTAGAGAAAATACGAACGATAGCGCAGCATCGTTCCGGTATCCTTCAGAGCTGCTATTTCTTCACTGCATCTCTTAGTAGTGGCTGTACGTCCGGTCAGGAAATTGAGAAGCAACTATCACTGGTCTGCTGCTAATAGGCCGAGAACGTGGAGCTCGTAGTAAGGATTAGCTCGGATCGATGCTGAAATCACTGAAGTGTAATGCGGCCGATGCCTCGAGTGCTGCTGTTGCCTACGGCGGGGAAGGGCCATGGTTGTTGCCACTGTCGGCTGCTCTGGCCGCATTGACCGATGCTGACGATACCTGGCGGCGGAGACTCCTCCCTTACTGCAGCTTTGCTTGTCAGCCTGCGGTGGTTTGGGCTCGAGTGCGTCACCGGTAGCGCTTCTTCGTACTCTGAACTATGCTCTCTCTGATCCAGCTTGGGACATCCTACAGATGGTGATCTGAAACCTCGAAAGGGATATTTCAATATGGCAGTTGGCTCGAACGTCGAAAGAGGATTGCCAGAGTATATCGAGCCGTTTGGTCTCTGCGTCTTGTAGACAAATTCGCGCTCGACGGAACAGAGAATAGTGAATCGTGAACCAAGTTGATAGAAATACTCACTTCGAAATTGTAAAGGCGGAGACGATCGACGTTCGATGAAAGGGACAAATGGGGAGATGAATATTCTTCTATGAGCTCGTTGTCGTTTTCTGGGTGGAAAGGAGGCATCGATGAACTGGAGATTGCGTGCCGGAGCGTATTCTAACGTTTGACGGAGGACGAGAACTTCCCGTAATTGGGGTACTGGAAGATGAAGAAAGTGGATTAGGTAACACCGTCTAATCACCTTGAAAAGTATGGGTACAGGGAAAGATTTCGCTAACCCACCGTAACAAAGATGCAATCCATACAGCTTATGAGGAGACCTGCGTTGGCTAATTGCAGCCGAGTCTTTCGCTGGAACGATTGCTGCTCTATGCTGAACCTTACCGTCTCGCGTAGTGGCGTCAATTAACAGGTATGTGACGTTCCAGGTTACGCAAGTCGGTCTGATATATTGGTTGCTGTAGCAAAGATGAGATGCATCATGCATCGCATTCAATATATCGCTCTACTATTCGGATGATGGCAACCCGCACCCGAACACACCTGGAGCTTTTCCTGCACGTGTCCTCAGGTTTCGAGAACGACAAGGCGGCTTTGGTGGAAGGATGTTCTTGGCTTGGACACGTCCTGGTCGCTCTAATTGCATAGTCATATAAGCTTTTGTTGGCAGGGGGCGGATGTAGGACCAATCCGGAAACTTTTCGCTTGGCCTTGTTGTAGTACTGAACAGATGAATCTGTATATTAATATAGGTAGTGCTTCTGCAGATGTGATGCCACAGGGATCAAATTCCGGCCAAAGGCGAAACTTTCATAGTCACCCAAGCTAGTTCCCTCATTACATGGGTTACAGGTTGTCTGTTGCGCTGCCTTAAGGCGGAAAGCTTGATCCCACCACACGGTCATGCTTTTTGACCACTGTGAGAATGTTGAAGGGTTGTTGTAAAGGGTCTAGAAGGACGAAAGTTGCTGCGGCCGTAAGAGGAGTGAACGGACCATTCGAACTCCGGATGTTGCGTAACGTTTACCGTGTCATAGTATAGCTCTTCAGCACCCGCTCTGTTATAAAAGCTGTCGAAGGTCTTGATTAGATCAGTAAGAAACAGACCGTGTGTCCTCTTCATGTGTGTAGGGCAAGGCTTGTAGTCGGGTTTGACCCCATAGTACCACGTCTTGTTGTAGTGCGTGTTACTTTCTGCTAGCAGGATAAGTTATACTGGATTCTTGAGAAGCGTTACTGTTCTCCAAAGTGTAACAAGTTGATGTTGTGCCAACAGCTATATGTAACGTGGAACAAACCCAAGGGTCGTAAGATCAAGGCGGGCGTTACAAAACGGGTAGTACTTGATTTCACAAGTTGGATGTGTGGTATGGAAGGAGGAGGAGAGTCCGATCAGTCGGGCGTGGAGCAAAGTTGGTGTCGGTCTTTTTGCGAGGCCCGAGCGCCCAGCATCAACACCTGCCAAGCATCGTGGCATCTCTAGATTTATTACTCAAACATCAGCGCCGCAAGCAGTAGAACGAACCTGTCATGATAATGGAGCTCACTAGCCATAGTGCCTACCGTCAACCCTGACCGGTCCCCCTTACATATCACGCACAATCTCACAACGCCGTACCTACGATGTCCGACAAGAAGATCAAGGAGTTCCCCGACCTATCCAAGAAGCTCGCCGCACCCACCAAGAAGTCCCTCTTCGAGCGGCAAAAGGCCGAAGCTGAAGCTAAACGCCAACGCGAAGAAGCAGAAACCGCGGCCGCGTATCAGGATTTTGCAAAGTCCTTCGACATTGACAACGATACACCTTCGAGCTCACGGCCTGGCTCAAGGCCCGATGACTTTGGTGGTCCCGGGCCAGGCAAAGGAAGCTTTGGAGGAGCAGGGAAACGGCACTTTGGCGTGCCAACGGGCCCACGAGGGAGTAGCGGGCCAGGAAGCTTAGGGCCGCCGCCTTCGTTGTCGCGCAAGAGGGCGTTCGATGGATCACATCCCCAGCAAAGAGACAGGGAGCAGGGGCGGCTGGCGTTTGGGGATGCGCCTGGGCCACTAGATGCTGCCACGGCATTCCAGATATCAGATGATGAGGACGAGAAGGCCGCTGGCAGTAAGGCGGCCGAGCGTGCGGCACCAAAACCAACACTACACCTGTCTTCGCTACCTCCCGGGACGTCGCAAGCGGTTATCAAGAGTCTAATACCGCCCACCCTCACGGTTGATGGAGTTCGTTCCCTCCCACCGTCCGGCCCCGGCTCGACTGAGCGCAGATCCATGTCAGCGATTGTTACACTTGCTAAAGAGACACCAGCTAGTGACATCGACACAGCAGTGAATGCGCTTCAGAATCGATACCTAGGGCTAGGACACTATCTATCTATATCAAGGCATCTCTCCTCAGCAGCTCTGGGCGCGACAGGCGCAGGCGTGGGTGGCCTAGGTTCAGCCTCAACATCACAGCCATTCAACGCAAAATCCGTATACGCCGGTCCTGGTGCCTCCCTGAGCCGTGCACCACCTCCAGGGCAGCGAGGCGGTTTTGCACCGCCGTCATCGTATAATAATACTGGTCCTGATCAGTTCGGAAGAGGGATGGGTTCAATCCAGGTCTCAGTCAACCCTCCTTCAGACCTCAAGCAGCTAAAGCTCATCCACAAGGCTCTCGAAGCGCTCATCACGCACGGTCCCGAATTCGAAGCGCTACTAATGAGTAGGCCCGAAGTCCAGCGCGACGAAAAATGGGCCTGGCTATGGGACTCCCGAAGCGCAGGCGGCATCTGGTACCGCTGGCGCTTGTGGGAAATTTCTACCGGCTCCGACATCCAGCGCCTACGCAACCGGCTCAGCAAAGGGCCCCAGCGAGTCTTCGACAGCGGCGCCCCATGGCTCGGTCCCGAACGCTCCCTCCCCTTCGAATTCACGACTCGCTTCGACGACTTTGTCTCGGACCCTGAGTACGACTCCTCCGGGAATGACGAGTCCGGCGACGAGGCGCATCAGCGTCGCCTCTACGCTAGCGGCGCACCACCAGACAGCGGGGCAGAGCCTCAGGAGAAGGCATATCTCAACCCGCTCCAGAAAGCGAAACTGACGCATCTACTCGCGCGCTTACCGACTACAACGGCCAAGCTCCGCAAAGGCGACGTCGCACGCGTGACGGCGTTCGCGATCAGACACGCGGGCGCAGGCGCGGACGAGATCGTCGACATGATTGTTTCGAATGTCGAGAGGCCCTTTGCATGGAGCGCCGCGAACCCGGACCGCAAGCGAGGCACCGAAGACGACGCCGAGGCGAGCCATTCAGGTGTAGGTGCAACAGAAGAAGACAAGAAAGCCGAGAAGGAAAAGGAAAAAGACGACCCCTCCAGCTCAAAGCTAATAGCCCTCTACCTGATCTCCGACATCTTCTCCTCATCCGCAACCTCCGGCGTGCGCGGCGCATGGCGGTACCGACAGCTCTTTGAGGCGGCGCTAAAGTCCCGCCGCGTCTTCGAGCACTTGGGGCGCCTCGAGAAGGATGTCGGGTGGGGCCGGATGCGCGCTGAAAAGTTCAAGCGCAGTGTTACTAGCCTGCTTGGTCTCTGGGAGGGCTGGTCGGCGTTTCCGCAGGCGGCGCAGGAGCATTTTGTTAGTGCGTTTAATAACCCGCCGCTGACGGAGAAGGAGAGGGCAGCGCTGGAGAAGGAGGAGAAGGCGGCTGCGGAGGCGAAGGCGGCAAGCGCGGCGAAGTCAAGGTGGAAGACTGTGGACGTTGGTGCCAAGGCTGGCGAGGCGGTGGCTGTGGGCGGGAAAGACAAGGAGGAGAAGGCGGAGAAAGATGTGAGCGATGAACCGATGCAGGAAGAGGGTATCGAGAGTGACCCTATGGAAGAGGATTTGGATGGCAAACCAACGGAGGAAATTGCTGGCGAGCCCATGGATGAAGATACGGATGACGTCCCGCTGGCAGAAACGGACACGACGCAGGAGCCTCACGCGCTTTCGGCGGCAGCAGTCCAGGTGGCGGTCCCGGGCGAGACCATGGCAGCAACAGCGCGGAGGCAGCGACCGAAGGCTGTAGACATGTTCGCAGACTCGGATGAAGAGTAGCTAGATAAGCACAGGCTCAAAGCGTCACACTTCTAATGTCTTCATACTAACCTTGCGTTCACCTATGCTTTGACCCACACAGAGTGCTTGCATGAAATGATGTCACCATTGATAGTGGGCTCCAGACGTCACTGTAGCAGCTTAAGATTGGCGAAAGCTGTTTCACTCAAGTTCTGGTTGAAGTATTCAACACTGTCAAAAGTCCGGATCGAAGGTGCCGGACCGTAGCTCCATACTCCAGACCGCTACGCCCTATTGCGAAACCATGCCTGTATCCCAAACTCCGTTCAATGCATCTTTACGCCCCTCATCAACTCATCTTCCCCATCTCTACGTCCGTCCCACCAAACTCCTCATCATCATCCCAATCACCGCTCCCGACTCTCCTCCCAACCCAAATCCCCACCGCCGTCAGCACGCTCGCAACCAGAAACCAGCCCTCAAACCACCTCTCCACAAACACCGGCTCAAGCGGCGCCCCAAGCGCCTCTGAGATAACGCTACTAACCTCTTTCGGGAGATTGCTCCTCAGCAACAACGCGCTACTAATAACATAAGTCCCCGCAACCTGGCTGACAATGAGCGCCAGGTTCGCCTGCGCATGCGCCATGACACTCGGCACGAAGCGCGCGAACAGCAGACAGGTCTGCAGGACGGAGTTGAACGAGGCCAGCAGCATGACGCCGGACAGCAGGAAGCTGATCTGGCGGCTCCAGGCCGCGCGGTCGAGAGTCGGATCCCAGTGCTTTGCGAGGAGGGCGAGGACGTTGTTGACGGGGTCGGAGGAGGCGAGGCTCTGGTTGTGACTGAAGAGGAGGCGGCGGGATAAGGCGAGGGAAGTGGTGATAATACGGTAGGCGCAGTAAAGTGAGAAGCCGTACTGGAAGATGTTGAAGCACCTGCCGATGGCGGTGCGGGAGCGGAGTTGGGTGGTGCGTCGGGAGCGCAGGGAGAGGAGTGAGTTGTGCAGGGCGCTGCGCATAGTTTCAAGACCAGAGATCTCGAATTGGAGCGCTTGTCGCTCTTGTGTGTCGGCATTGCCGCGTATGGAGCCGATTACGCGTGTCATGAAGCCTTCGGAGGGTGTTTCGGAGAGCTTCCGCTCTAGAGCTCGCATGCGGCTGCGTTTGGCTTCGAGCATTGAGGTTGTTGCCTCTAGGCCAGCTTGCTTGCGCGCGATGTCTGCTTCTGATACCTAGTTGGTGTTAGCAAGCTTAGATGACTGCTTTGAACAAAAGTAAGGTGACTGGCAGAGCTATCCGATCCTTTGCCGAGCTGCTTCATCTTTGCCGACCTAACAACTTTTCTTCAAGATTGTCGAGTTAACTCCAATACTGGAAAGGAAGCAAAAGCTTACCAGCCGTGCCTTGCTACCGAAAGTCTGCCATAGCGAGCTGACAGCCGCAAAGCCCGCCAACGAAGCCATCAGCGAAATCCCAATAACCCCGATCCTCTCCAGGCATCCCTCAGTAAAGCTATGCCGCCTCTGATATGACGGCTCGTGGAGGTACGACCCAAGTAGCCCACTGCCAATGTACCAGAAAGCCAGCAGCCATATTGCGAGCCCCAGTGTCTCAAGGGCCCAGGCTGCGCTTAGGAACCGCCTCTTCCTACTGCTGCCGCCATTGTTCCCGAACCGCCAGCCAGCGGCGGAGATAACCGAGTGCAGTTCCAGCGCCGGCGTAGCCAGGATGAGGAGGAAGAGGAGCGAGGACAGCGTGACCTTAAGGGCCAGGCTGCGCGCCGCTGGGTTGAGCGCATTCGAGATCTCGCAGAGGATGAGCTCGACCAGAACCGCGGACAACGCAATATTGGTGGAGAAGGCAAACCCAGCTAAGCGCTTCACGGAGGGCTTCGAAATCAGGTTCTTCTTTGCGGAAGCAGACGCTTCCCGGAAGCTGAAGTGGGTGGGTAGCTGGTGTTCATGGTGGTCTTTGGGTGACGCGGATCCAGAGAGCAGCGGGAACAGCTTCTGGAGGACTGCCGTGGCGACGATGAGGAAGGTGAGGACGAAAGGCAGGGAGGATATCGCTATGGTGGACAACTCGCGCCGCTTGAGGTGGTTCGGTAGGCAGTCATCGCAGTCATCGGCAGCGGGCAGCATTGAGGTTGGAACCCGCGGCACAGCGTGCGCGCACGAGGTTTTAGAGGCTACTGGGCGGTCGCAAAGGGTACGCGCTAGGACTCATGACACCGACCAGTGTTGCTTGAGGTTGTTTTATGGAGAACGGCCTTGCGTGCTCCCGGCAGGTAGAGGTACGTTAAGGAAGCACGTGACGTTCAACCATACAACGACACCATGCCAAGCCCACTCTATCGATAAATCGTAATAGGCCGCCTAAAACACCTACACTGTTACATGGATATGAGCGACGTTTTCAGTGCAAAATTTGGAATACCTTCTAGTCTAAGCTTGCATGCCAGTATGCCAAACCAGCTTCGACACGTGTTGTTTGATTCGTTCACGGGTGTAGAAGAAGCATCATGTTTGTTTTGGAAACACCACTGATAGCGACTGTTCCAATGGTCGAAAGAGTGGCCGTAAGCTTTCCTCATACGTCTTCCTTGCCTGTGCTTAGATGCAGCATATCTACAGTAGCGTGCCAATGGATAACAATCATCCACACGATAAAACGCTGCGTCTCAATGATCAGTGGCGACCATCACAGCCGCCAACCGAGGGACATGGAACGTCCAATCTAATACCAATGAGAGAAGAAGCCAACGTCATCTCGAAGAATAGTCTAACCAAGTCCTCGGCTTCGAATTCTCCGCCATCGCAACCTCATCCTGAGGCACAGATGCCGACTTCGGAGACGAATCCTCCTCTTCCGATGCATTTGTCTTTGGCAGAAGAGTCAGTTCAGGTTGCCCATGCTCTCTTATAGTCCCCGGTCGTCCCGGCCGTTCGTCCTCATCGTCGCTCGAGTCGACACTAGGGGCCGGGCTGTCCAATGGCTCCAGTGTCTGCGACGACTCTAGATCCTTGTACACCGGGCCTGGGCTACGGAGTATTTCCGGTGATGACAAGTCTCCTGCGCTTAGCGGACTGTAAGTACTCTCCGGCGAAGTGGGTGTCCTGGCCAAATCCGTCTCTACCCGTATCTGCGGCGCACCGTGCATCTGGGACAGGGGATGAGACGATGGAGCCGGTTTGTACCCGATCGCTGCCGCTACAGCTGCCGCTTCTGCGTCGGACTCTGCCTGGGAAATAGGCTTGGGGTTGTCGAGCAGTAGGCTGTCGCGATTGCTCCTGTCGAGGATGTGGCCGCCTTGTGGTCCGCTCTTGGCTAAGAGGTTTCTGTAGCCCTGCCGCTCCGGATCTTCTAGTCGCTGCCGCTTGTGCTTCGCTCGCTTGGCATTTGGGCGGACAACGATGACGGGTACGGGCGAGTGCTGCAGGCAGTACTTCGAGACTGAGCCAGGTAAGAGCCCTTGGAAGCCTTTGAGGCTGCGTCCACGGGTACCAACAATCAGGATAGCTGGTTCGTACAGGTTGATCTGGTATGGGTCAGCAAAGTGACATCGCAACGACAGAACAACTGGCTTACCATGTCATCTATAACCTTGTTTACTTTGCCCACCGCGAACTCCAGGACTAAGTTTATGGCCTTGTTATCCGAGTTCTTCGTCTGAATGTATTCCATCAACTCCTCTGCCTCGGTGCGGTACCTCCCCTTCTCGATTCCCGCGTCTGATTCTACGACCCGCAGGCATACCACTTCATCTCCATCGTCCACTAGTTCGTCGATCAGCCACTCCAGGGCATACTCGGAGTAGTCGTTCGAGTCAAGACCGCAGAGGAAAGTTCGCGAGCGTTTCGTGTACTCATAATCTTTGTGCTTTTCCCGTAGAGTGAAAGAGTTCTCTTCTATAAAATCGGCAGGCCGGTCGAACGTGTCGAAGGAGACGCGTGGGCGGAATACACTGGGGGAGTAGAGTTAGCTTCTAGGCCAAAGGAGTCGTGCCCACCAGCAGCCTAGAGAAATAGAAACGTGGTGAAGTTCTGTGTATCTGCTGCATGCCAGTTGATGCGCCAGACCTTTCTGCGCGCTCTTTGCCTTTGCGCGAAGGCTTGGGTGGTGTGGGAAGCATGACAAGACAGCCAAGAAGCTCCAAAGGTTGTCGATACGGCGCTGTTTGTTCGGAGAACACCAAGCCCTACCGAGCGGGCATGGAGGTTGCGGCGTTTGGGGAGGTGTAACCGGAATTGAAATGCGCAAGATACTCACGGCGGAGGTGGAGGAGAGCTCATACGCCGTCTGCTGCCAGAGCGCCCGGCTTTCGGGCTGCCAGTACGAGCAGGCGCGGCCTGACGGGCAGCAAACTGCACTGAGGGCCGGCGGATATCGGGCACATCGCTGCCGACGACGCGCTGCGGAAGTAGCAGTGGGCTGACCGTATATGGCTGGTGACTACCTGCGTCGCGGGGTCGAACAGGTGGCGACGGCGCGGTTTTTGGGGCGGACGACGTGGGGGAGAAGGCCATCTAGCCCTCTGATTCGTCTTCTTCTGACCGGACGAGGGGCGCTCCTTTCAAGATAGTGCGTGACTGGAAACAAGGTTTCCTGTTTGAGCGAAAGAGGGCAACTCGGCAGGTGTGAGATGGAGCGTGAGTGACGGTGCTGCAGGAAGGATGTATGTGTTGGTTGGGTGAGGTTGCGTGGACGGTAGTGACTCGGCGCGTTGAAACTGCCCAGATGGTGTGTTTCCCCGCTATCGTCTTAAAAGACAGTCCTTTGCGTGTATCCTGAAGGCAAGGTAGACGGCTGTCCACGATGGAGAGTGAAGTGATGTCTGCACGGGGGAAGTGGGCGCAGTGAACGACGATTGAACTTCGAGTCTTGGCCGTGATGCCATCCTGCTTGGGTGCTTGGGTGCTTGGGTGCTTGGCTGCCCCAGCATCCATGCGTCGAGGGGTCTTGCAGAAGCACTGCAGCGGATCGGCACGAGAGCGCTCACGGTCCCCATCTTGGATTCATGATCCAATGAATTCTGGACAACTCCAAGGATCTCGAAGCAACGCCTTCCGAAGGTCAATGGCAAGGAACATGATCAAACTCAAGGAAAATCAACTCGAGTTGTCAATCGCTTCGAAGCCCTGAATTCTAATATTACCCCGGATGATCCTACAGGTCTATACTCATGTATCACAGTGCTGGCGAGCTCAGTCAACCCCTCTACGGCAAACCTAGGCAAACGACTTTGCCTCTCCGTCCTTCAGCGTCCCAGCACTAACCAGCCTAGCAACCTCCTCGGCAAAGATGACTTTGATCTCGCCAGCGTCCTTCTTGCCGTTGAGCTTGCTCGTCAGTAGCGCCAATTCCTCGTTGTCGATCTTTGCAATGATCAGGTCGACATCATTGAGAACTGCATCAATCTGCGAAGGCGGCGCGTCACCGCCAGCATGGAAGTAGTTCGCGTCTTTTGCGCTCCCTCTCACGACCCGCTTGTTCTTCTTTGCAGCGTTCTTTGCGGCCTCCTTCGCCTTCTTGCCCTCAGCCTTTTCCACCTTCTCTGCTGCCTCCCTCTCCGCTTTCAGCTTAGCCTCCTCTTCCTTCGCCTTGGCAGCCTCTTCGGCCAGCCGCTTGGTCTCAGCCTCCTTCTCTATGCGCCTCTTGTTTTTCTGAGCGTGCTCCTGCTGCCTGAATTTCTTGATCCGCTCGTCCAGCGACAGTGCGTCGTCGACCAAGTGTCTTAGCCGGGCGGTGTCCTCGGTCTTCTTCTTCTTGCGCGCGTTTTGGTTCTTCCGCTCCACGTGACGCTTCTGGTCACGGTTCTCGTTATCATCCGGAACATCCTCGTCCTGGTACTCGAACGACCTCCAGCTATCGAAGTTGTACCAGAAGTTGTAGAACTCCTCAACCTCCTCCTTCGTGCTCTTCTCGTTACCGAGCTTGGGCACAGGCTGCGTCTTGGAGAAGCGAGCCTCAGCCTCGAAAACGGGTCCCCACAGCTTGTAAAAGTTGCCTTTCTGGGTCTGCTTCTTGCTCGGTGGTTCAACATCGGCGTGCTCGTCTACAGAGTCGAACTGGCGGCGCTTAACAGGGTCGAGCAGGACTTCCGTAGCCTTCTGGATGCACTTGAAGAACGAATCGTCCTCGGTGCTGCCTGCCGCAGCTTTCTTGTCGGGGTGGTGGCGCAGTACTTTCTTGCGGTGGGCGCGCTTGATCTGGTCTTCGGTGGCGCGGAATCGGTACTTGGAAAGGCCTAGGACAGCATAGTGATCTTGGTTCTAGTAACCTCGGTGTTAGCAGTAGGTTTTAAGATACGTTTAGGATCTACATACCTTCCAATCCTTAGCATCACGTTGCAGCATCAGAGGGTCTTCCGGCTCGCTGATGTCCCCCGCATCCTCGTCCTCGACTTTCTTGACATTCTCCTGAGCTTGTATACGATCGTCCTCGGAGAAAGTGCGCTTATGCCGCTTCTACAATGGAGTGTCAGTTGGCGTGCTATAATCTGTGCGATTGAGACTTCAACATACTCTGCGTGCGTGAGCTAGGAAGTGAGGCCCGACGGGCTCTACGATGCGCTGGGTTGCGGATGAGAGCGTGCCAGCGGCCTTGAAGTCCTTCTCCGCAGACCAGCCTTCCGGCAGAACCGGCAAAGGTAATGACACCTGCAGTGCGGTGGCCATGTTGAATTGTTTTTGGTGGAAGTTGCAATGCTGTTGGTGATGAAGAGCGACAATTTTTTGGACGCAAGCGGGAGGCGCCGCGGCTTGGCAGCGACTTCCGCGGCCATAGGGGACAAGGCAGCGGTTGAGTACGCCGGAGTAATACTGAGCAATCAAAGCCTCGTTCTGTAGAGATTCATGAGTCAATTAGCATACAGTATGAGGTAGTCAGCATGTTTCAGGTAATGTTCTAGTGTCGTCGCGCTCTAGTCATCCGCTAATCCTAGGGGATTTCAGCGCCTAAAGAATACCATCGACTCTGCCTTCGAGCAGGAGCAGCAACGGCAGAAAGCCGCAGCAGCACAGCAAACCCCGTCTCGATCAGGCTCCGGAGCTCGACGATCAAGTTCACGCGCTCTATCGCCCTCAAGGCGACAAGGCCGTAACCGCCAGCCAGCCAACGATGCCGACAGAGCGCCGGGCGAGAAGGGGCCTGACCCCTCAGAATTCGTCATTGGAGACGACGATGAGCTGAGTCGAGCCGGTACACCTCGACCGCCTGCTGTAAGAGAGGAGCAGGGCTCATCCGTGGTAAACGAGAAGGATGGAGGGGAGGAGGACGCGGCAAGGGATGCCAAGCCCTCCGACATTCCTACGGAGGTGCGCGCGAAGTTGCGTAGGCTGGAGAAGATTGAGGCGAAGTACACAGGTAGGCCAACAATTTCACCAGTCAAGCTTTATGGAGGAGTTGTTGGTTGACAACAATGCAGAGCTACTGCGCTCATACCGCATCGCACACACCCGCGTTTCAGCCATCGAGCCTTTCGAAGCTTCTCTCCGCGAGAACACGCCCCTTACATCTATAACTGATCCTGGCGCTTTTGTGGAGTACCTCAACCAGAACAAGCTCAAGGGTGACATGGTCATGGACGAGCTAAAGCGGGTATCGAGCGAGCGGGACACTTTCAAGCAAAAGCTGGAGCAAGCTGAGATGCGGGCGAAAGAAGCTGAGAGTCGAGCGGAGCAGCTGAAGGCAGAGAAGGACGCTCTCAGCGCTCAAAGCAAGCATGAGCATGTGAACGGCACGAGCGTGCAGCACCAGGAGAATCCAGAGTCAGCTCAGGCAACCTCGGCGGCCTCTCCAGAACCAGAAAAGACCGCCGAGAAGAGCGATGATAGCGAAGAGTTCTTCTCGTACGATAGCGAGCTTCCACGAGTGAAAGCCGAGCTACAGACACGCGAAGAACAGATCCGCAAACTCGAGAGCAAGAACAAGGAGCTACAGGGCAACATAGCTGTTGCTCAGGAGTCCGCGGAACAGTTAGTCCGTAACCTAGAAATTGCGAATAGAGACTTACAGGCCCTGCGAGACAGCAAGGAGCAGTCAGAGCGGGAAGGCAAGGAGCGGTTCGAGTCCCTGGAGTCAAACAGAAACGAGGCCCAAGCTGCGCTGGAAAAGGCAGAAAAGGCGCTTAGTGAGCTCAGCGACCAACGTGACAAGCATGAATCAATCGTGGTAAATTTGCAGACGACCCTGGAATCTACAAGACAAGAGCTGGAGAACATACGCTCCGAGCAATCCAGTGCACCCGAGCAGGGCGAGGAGCAGAACCGTCTACAGAACCAAGTGGAACGCTTAGAAGCCGACCTTGCGGAGTTTCGATCATCACATCAGAAACAGACTAAGCGCGGCGAGACGCTGAACAGTCTGGTCGACACCTTAAGATCTCAGCTTAAGGACGCCGAGTCGGAACGCGACGTTTTGAGAAAAGTAGCAACGGATTTCAGCGCTTTGCAAGCGACTATTGCAGCTGAGACCGTCGAGCAGGACCAGGCTGGGGATCCTGCAGCGACCGCCAACACGAACGAAGCAGCGGCATCCAAAAAGAAGAACAACAACAAAAAGAAGAAGAAAGGAAGCAAAGCTACGGAGGCCGCTACTACGGACGGAACCGAGACGCCAGTCGACACACCAGCCACAAAAGGTGCCGCAGACGAGGAGATGGATGAGGAAAGACAAACGCGAATCAACGAGAGCGAAGCGGAAATAGCGACACAGATTGCTGTAGAGGTTGAGAAGAGAGAGCTTGTGATCGAACAAAAACAGCGTGTCATTGAGGCGAAGGAGCGTGCCATTGAAGAGAAAGCGCGCGCCATCGAAGAGAAAGATCGTATCATCGAACGTCTGAACAGCAAGCTAAAGGACCAGGATGACCTCAAAGAGGAGATTGAAGGTCTCAGAGATACTCTACTCAACATAGGCGACGAGCACGTTGTGGACAAGGACATGATCAAGGAGCTTCGGGCCGACAAAGTCGCATTGGAGGAAAGCCTTCAGAAGCTCGAGAAGGATGTCACAGAGCTTCGCGCCAGTCAAGCTTCGAGCAGCGCGAGCTCGGAACAGGAGCGACAGTCGTTGGCAGCAAACTTCGAGGAGCTCAAGCGCAAAGCCGACTCCCTGCAAACGGACCTTTCGGCCGCAGAGCAGCTTGCTGCCTCGAGATTCAAGGACCTCACAGACATGCGGGAGATCTTGCAGAAGGCGCAGCCTGAGCTTGCGGCGTTGCGTAGCGAGGTCGCCGAGCTACGGAGTTCGAAAGAGGAAATAGTGGTCAAAACAGCAGAGGTGCGAAGGCTTGAGGCGCGGGAGAAGGATCTGAGATCTGAGATCACGATGTACAAGTCGCAAGCTTCTGAGAAGGATGCCGACATCAGGGCGCTGAACGACAAGATCAACCAAGAAACAAAACTACGTATCGGGACGGAGGAGACGAACCGAAAGGCACAGCGGGATCTGCAGCGTGTGGAAGATGACTGGAAAGATGCAGCAGAAGCGAGAGACAGGCTGTCGAAGGAGCTTGCTACCGCTCAAGAAGAGCTTAAGAGCGCCCGCTCTAACCTTCGTGATCTGGAGCAGCAAGTGTCCAAGCTAACCAGCGATGCTGAGGGCCTACGTGACGAGATGGGACTCAAGACCGCTCAGTACAACAGCGCACAAAGCCTGATGAACAGCATGCAGGATCAAACACATGAGATCGGCGCACAAATGAAAGAAGTCCGCGAGCGCTGCGAAAGCCTCGAGGAGGAGCTGGCGGATGCACACAGGCTCCTGAGTGAGCGAAGCCGCGAAGGGGAGACGATGCGGAGACTGCTCGCTGATGCCGAGAGCCGTGCTGATTCGAAGGTTAGAGAGATGCGTGAGCGTATGGAGCTAGCCGTCGAGGAGCGTGATCGTGCGGAGGAACAGGCCAGTACGGCCGGCCGTCGGCGTGCTCGGGAGCTGGAAGATCTGAAGCAGAAGGTTCGCGACGTGGAAAGAGATCTTGCCCGCGCTACTGAAGCTAGGGAAGATTTTGCAAGCACTGAGAAAGAGCTGAGGAGACAGAAAGAGGATTTCGAGCGAAGAGCCACGCAGGCTTCTGATGAAGTCAAAGAGATTAGGCAGGCGATGAGCCAGCTTCGAGATGCTTTGGATGAAGGCGAGAGACACAGTCAAGAGCTAGAGCAAGAGAAGACAGACCTCCGCCGCGCGCTTGAAGAAACCCAGGAAAGGCTCGACAAAGTTCAAAAGTCGAGCAAGTCGATGGCCGAAGAGCTGCGCAACCTGCAGGCTTTTAAGCCCCGCACTCCGGACTTCAGCATCCAGTCCTCTCGATCCTCCTTGGATTACTCAGGCACTCCGTCCAGGATAGCGTCACCTCCGGTAAAGGGAAGAACGCCTTCTGTTGCGACAGCAGTGGGCTCAGACGCTGGGTCGAACAGCATGGATCTCGTCTACTTAAAGAACGTGCTCTTGCATTTCTTGGAACAAAAGGATAAGTCGCTTCAGAAGCAATTCGTGCCGGTGCTGGGGAAGATACTTCACTTTGATCCGTAGGTCTATCTGGCTTGCTCCTCTCTTCATTCAGGTCGTCCTAACATTTTCGCAGGAAGGAAGAGCAGAAGTTAATGGCCGCAATTACTGCGAAATGAGCATGCTGTCTGCCTACTGCACGGTTTCATGTACAGCGCTACCGTCGCGGCAAGTCGACTCAGCAACCGTATGACGCCTGGCTAAGTCACGACGCATCCTACGGTATCTGGTCCCGAAAATAAGACTTGTCCACTAATGACGCGCCGTATCCATCTAGTCTTGGTAGTCCTTTTCTTCATAGTCGGTGTCAGGGTCATGGTTTGCGGGCATTTGCCACCTCAGCCTAACGGGCAGCACAGGCGAAGGGCGTTAGAGGTCGGGTATGGTGCAGTTGGATACTCCAAGTATCATGATCTCAAGTCTCAACCCATCCTTACATTTGCGGAGGAGCAACCTGTTCTAGGTACTATCTCCTGTGTAACCTCTCCATTGGGTGAGGAGGCAGCCTCGTGGCGCTTTTGTTTGCCAGTGTACAAAACGTTATCGTCACACTACGTGGTTTCCAAACTCTTCCTGGGGTCTCTGCGTCCGCTGGGCTGGAGCTTGGGAACTGAGCAAGCAGCATGTAATACTTACATTTGGGTTATTGGGGGTCTCTAACTTGCGAAGACAGCGTCTGGTAGGGTAGATGTTAGGTTAGGTAGCCGGAGGGAGCATCAACGCATGAAGGTCCACCACCACCTCTCCCCGCCTGTATCGTACGCCCTCGTGTATGTGCACACATCTTTACGCGTATCATCCTCTAAGCTGAATCCCATCACGCGGATTGCGGCATGCCGTGAATGACCTGCAGATCGCAAACGCCTTGCAACGAGGTCCCGGACGACTGGCTCGACGGGCACAGCATCATCTCATCATCGCACCGCCTGTGGTGGCCCTTGGCAGGCCTAGCAAACCCGGAACTCAACACCATCCCCCTGAGCAAAGCACTCGCTACTTACGGACCCCCTCCACTATCCCCGATATCCAAGCCCACCAGCGTCTCTCGCCGGCGCACACCCATCCAGCTTCTCGAACAGCCGGCTGCAGAGAAGATCTGCCCCGCCGTCAAACCAAGTCAGGGGAAGCACGGCCCAAGCCTGCACCCACGTTGTCGAGTGGGATAGGCCGCTCGACAAGACAACGCCCGACAGTGGCTACGGCGATCACCAACGATCGAGATTCGCCTGCAACAGCCTCATTGTGGTGGCCTGAACTCCGCGAACAGTTCGAGTTTCGCCATCCCGCGGCGCTTTGGTTCATGAACCTCGACGATCGCGCTTCAACCGTCGCATCCTCGACCTATCACCCCGGCTCACCAACTCGTCGGTTTGCGATTCGGCCCCGGAACCATCATGAATGGCACAAACATCAAGAAGGCCGCGATAAGTAAAGCCAAGGAGGTCGCGCAGGCCGCCAACGGCAATGGCAACAAGAAGCGCAGAAAAGGCCAGGACCTGAAGCCGATAATCACCACAGAAAAGGCGCAAGGTAGCTTGGATTCCAGTCCTGCGAGCGCGACTAACAGCGCCCACATCAAGTGAGCAGAACCTCTGCCGACTCCACTTTGGTCTACGGTCCCTCCCATCTGGATTGAATACTGATGAGTTGTACAGTCCTACAAACACGGCCTCGCCTCTGTCACACCATAAAGTCTACAACACCACACAATTAGGCCGATCGCCGTCTTCATCCTCCTCGTCCGCCGAAGATGCCGCTGAGAACACTGCAGACGAGGAGGACTCAGAGGACTACTGCAAAGGCGGCTACCACCCGGTACACGTAGGCGAGCAGTACAAGGATGGCAAATACACAATTGTGCGGAAGCTAGGTTGGGGTCACTTCTCGACCGTGTGGTTGTCGAAGGATAATACGACGGGAAAGCATGTAGCCCTCAAAGTAGTGCGATCTGCAGCCCACTACACAGAGACCGCGCTTGACGAGATCAAGCTGCTGAAGAAGGTGGTCGAAGCCAACAAAGATCATCCCGGCAGGGCGCACGTTGTCAGTCTACTGGATTCATTCAATCATAAAGGCCCGAACGGCGTCCACGTGTGTATGGTGTTTGAGGTGCTCGGTGAGAATTTACTAGGCTTGATAAAGAAGTGGAACCACAGGGGTATCCCAATAGAATTGGTCAAACAGATCACCAAGCAGGTCCTGCTCGGTTTAGACTACTTGCACAGGGAGTGCGGCATCATCCATACCGATCTTAAGCCGGAAAACGTCCTAATCGAAATCGGAGATGTCGAGCAGATTGTCAAGACCTACGTCAACGACGAACCTAAGAAAAAGGATGACAACCCCAACGGACGAAGGAGAAGACGGACTCTCATTACTGGAAGTCAGCCTCTACCGAGCCCTCTCAACGCGAGCTTCAGCCAATCCGACCTCTTTAACTTCTCTGGCAGCACGCAGAGTCTGAACAAAGTCGTGAACGAGAGCGCAGGTGAGTAAACCCTTGTAGAGGATGCGAAGTATCATCTCTAGAATGGCAAGTGACGATCCGTGCAATAGGCTCCTCAAAGCCTGCATCCGCCGCCTCATCTGGATTATCGTTAAGAGAGCAGCTGGGTATCAAATCCACCGGGAGCGAAGCCGATGTCCAGAAAGAGCGGGAAAAGACTGCGTGAGTCCCAGCCTTTTTTCCGCTTGTCACAGGCAAGCTAACACACGCCAGGGATCTGCTCACGAAGGACATCTCGGGTATTGACCTGGGCAAGACGACCTCGAGTAACTCGTCAACGAAGGAGAAGCTGCAAGAGGACGTGGCTTCCGACACCATATCAGTCAAGATCGCCGATCTCGGTAACGCATGTTGGGTTGGACATCACTTCACAAATGACATTCAAACAAGGCAGTATCGATCACCAGAGGTGATACTCGGCGCAAAATGGGGTGCCAGCACCGACGTGTGGAGCATGGCAGCCATGGTCTGTCCTACCTACTCAAACTACATTAAGATCGAAGAGCTCACACATCCAACCAGGTCTTCGAACTGATCACAGGTGATTACCTCTTCGACCCACAATCTGGAACCAAATACGGCAAGGATGACGACCACATCGCGCAAATAATCGAGCTTCTCGGCCCCTTCCCCAAATCCCTCTGCATCGCCGGCAAGTGGTCGCAAGAGATTTTCAACCGCAAGGGTGAGCTACGCAACATCCACCGGTTACGCCACTGGGCTCTGCCCGATGTGCTGAAGGAAAAATACCACTTCAACGTAGAGGACGCGAAGAAAATCGCTGACTTCCTCTTACCACTCCTGGAGCTGCTGCCGGCAGATCGCGCGAACGCGGGCGGTATGAGCAATCATGAGTTCTTGGATGGTACGAAGGGCATGGAGAACGTGAAGCTGGATATTCCGGTAAGGAGTAAGGGTGAGGGCATAGAGGGATGGGCGAGCGAGGTCAAGAAGCAACGGTAGCTGGACCGCTGGAGAGCGGCTGGCTGGGCTTGTAGGGGCGAGAGGGGGTCCTTCGGCCCTTTACACATCCATCCTTCATTACGGTCCTTTTTTGCGAAGCGGGAGCACTGTAGACGCGTAGGGCGGCGTTCGGCCATTCGGTGTGATGGAAATGTAACAGTGATTTATCTTCCACATTGCCCTTAGACGTTGATGTCGGAAGTGATATGCATGTCTATCTACCGCGCGGCTACATGGAGGTACGTGTTCGCGGAACAACACACGGGATAGCCGCCTTCGTCCACGGCTTTGGATAGAAGCTTTTAGCCCTCTGAGCATGAGATTAACAGATTCCTTAGCTGCCACTCCAAATCCCGCGTGACTCATCCCAATTGACCACGGTTGAACCTCTGAATGTACAGATAGGATGAACCTGGCTTGATTGGGGGCTGAGATACCCCAGGTGTTCCGTCAGCCATGGCGTTCTTGACTGCTTGATTCCCTGTACATACATACGCGGGAAGCTGGCCACCCCTTGGCCTCTTTCCTCCGTGACGCTTACCGTCACCTCAGGAATCCATTCGCCGCGCTCCGAGACCTTCAGAAACAACACCATCGCTGCGCCGTAGACATTACTCGAGGGTCTTTGACGGGTCCTTCTTGAAATCAAGCACAACACTCAAGGTCCACACGATCGCTTACACGGGCTGACCTTTCGAATGGCTGCAACAACAAGTCACATTCTCGTTGTGGGTGGTGGTCCAGCTGGGGCTACGGCAGCTTTCTGGCTCGCTAGAGCTGGCTTCGAAGTTACCGTCGCTGAACGCTCATCCGACAAGTTCACATACGGCCAAGGAATCGACATTACTGGCCCAGCGATTCCAATCGTGCAAAAAATGGGACTGTACGAGAGCATCACATCACAGACGACCGGGGAAAAGGGTTTCGCCATTGTCAATGACAGCAGCGACACTATTGCTCACTTTGGGGCTGGAGCGGGCGCGACTCTTACTCAAGAAATCGAGATTATGCGAGGCGACCTCGTAAGGATTCTGGCCGAAGCTGCCGATGCTTCTGACAAAGTCCACTACCGATATGGCTGCACCGTGTCCGAGATCCAGCAAAGCGAAACACATGTAACAGTCGTCCTGACCGATAGCAAGAACGGCAAGACAGAAGATTTTGCAGCAGTCATCGGCGCTGACGGCTTGAATTCCAAGGTTCGGCGCTTGGTGTTCGACAATAAGATTACAAAGGACTGCTACATTGGCACCGATCAGTACTGTGCCTATTTCTCGATGAAAGGAGAGCCAGATGACGTGCCAAACTCTCGACTTCAGCACGCTCCAGGACGCCGAACAATTCTGATTCGTCCAACGGAGGTAGACTCGACCGACAGATCTTCATGTTACATGGCATATTTCAAGTCCGGCGACATGGAAAGCGCAGTAGGCCGACCCGTGGAAGATCAGAAGGCTGTCTTAGCTGAGATCTACGAAGATTTTCCCGGTCGGCTTGGTATCCGGGCTTTGCAAGGCATGTGGAATGCAAGGGACTTCTACTACAGTGAGACAGCGCAAATCAAGCTTCCAACGTGGTCGAGTGGGCGCTGTGTCCTAGTCGGCGATGCAGCATATGCTCCATCTGCAGCATCTGGTCAGGGAGTTGTGCTTGCCATTCTCGGATCATACGTAATTGCAGGAGAGCTAGCTGCGCGTCCGGACGAGCCTCACACCGCTTTCACTAGATACGAGGAGCGACTGAGGCACTATGTGAAAGAATCCCAGTCCATTCCTGTAGGAGGACTTGTGGCAAAGCTGGCTATTCCCGAAACTTATACTGGCATACGTATCTTGAGGTTTTTATTCTGGCTGGCAGCCCAGAGCGGAGTGTGGAAATGGTTCAATATCAAGCAGAACACATTCGACTTGCCCAAGTACACATTTGCTCTTGCTACAGACAATAAATAACTTGTCGAATTGTCAATAGCACCCTTTAAGAGAGATCTGACGATTATTTGGACAGTTTCAGGGCATCGCGGCAACGTGAGATCGTACTACAGATACTGTATGGTCGAGACATTCGTCCCCGGATAAATGTCTTGGTTCTCAGCGGACGAAATGGTCGGCGGAGGTTGGCAGCGGTGCGGAGGCAAAGCGGCGATAGTGGTGGTGGTGGTGGTGGTGGTGGTAGTGTAGTAGGGTATGAGTGATATATATATATA